TCCTAATGCTGAACCTGCAGATGTAAACACACGTAAGGAAAATAACATTACTGTGGTGTACATGCTGTCAGTCTTTAGGGGGAAAAAAAGCATTTAAAATACATATAAAATTTACCTTCACCTTTTCTCTCTCACAGCAACAGCCTCTCCTAATGCTGAACCTGAAGATGTAAACACACGTAAGTAAAATAGCAATACTGTGGTATATATCCTATCAGTCTGGAGGAAAAAAATATACATTTAACATGCACATAAAATTTAATTTCATCTTTTCTTCTTTTTCTTTCTCTCAGCAACAGCCTCTCCTAATGCTGAACCTGCAGATGTAAACACACGTAAGGAAAATAGCATTACTGTGGCATACATGCTATCAGTCTTTAGGGAAAAATAAAACATTTAAAATGCACATAAAATTTAATTTCACTTTTTCTTTTTCACAGCAACAGTCTCTCCTAATGCTGAACCTGAAGATGTAAACACACGTAAGTGAAATAACATTACTGTGGTGTATATGCTGTCAGTCTTTAGGGGAAAAAAACCATTTAAAATACATATAAAATTTACCTTCACCTTTTCTCTCTCACAGCAACAGCCTCTCCTAATGCTGAACCTGAAGATGTAAACACACGTAAGTAAAATAGCAATACTGTGGCGTACATACTATCAGTCTTGAGGAAAAAAATATACATTTAAAATGCCCATAATATTTAATTTAATGTTGTCTTCTTTTTCTTTCTCACAGCAACAGCCTCTCCTAATGCTGAACCTGAAGATGTAAACACACGTAAGGAAAATAACATTACTGTGGTGTACATGCTGTCAGTCTTTAGGGGGGAAAAAAAAACATTTAAAATGCATATAAACTTTAATTTCCCCTTTTCTTTCTCACAGCAACAGTCTCTCCTAATGCTGAACCTGCAGATGTAAACACACGTAAGGAAAATAACATTACTGTGGTGTATATGCTGTCAGTCTTTAGGGGGAAAAAAACCATTTAAAATGCACATAAAATTTCATTTCACCTTTTCTTTTTCACAGCAACAGTCTCTCCTAATGCTGAACCTGCAGATGTAAACACATGTAAGTAAACTAACATTACTGTGGTGTACATGCTGTCAGTCTTTAGGGGAAAAAAAACCATTTAAAATACATATAAAATTTACCTTCCCCTTTTCTTTCTCACAGCAACAGCCTCTCCTAATGCTGAACCTGCAGATGTAACCACATGTAAGTAAAATAACATTACTGTGGTGTACATACTATCAGTCTTGAGGAAAAAGATATACATTTAACATGCACATAAAATTTAATTTCATCTTTTCTTCTTTTTCTTTCTCACAGCAACAGTCTCTCCTAATGCTGAACCTGAAGATGTAACCACACGTAAGTAAAATAACATTACTGTGGTATATATGCTATCAGTCTTGAGGAAAAAAATATACATTTAACATGCACATAAAATTTAATTTCATCTTTTCTTCTTTTTCTTTCTCTCAGCAACAGCCTCTCCTAATGCTGAACCTGCAGATGTAAACACACGTAAGTAAAATAGCAATACTGTGGCATACATACTATCAGTCTTGAGGAAAAAAATATACATTTAAAATGCCCATAATATTTAATTTAATCTTTTCTTCTTTTTCTTTCTCACAGCAACAGCCTCTCCTAAGGCTGAACCTGAAGATCTAAACACACGTAAGTAAAATAGCATTACTGTTGTATATATGCTATCAATCTTTAAGTAAAAAAGAACCATTGAAAATGCACATAAAATTTAATTTCACCTTTTCTCTCTCACAGCAACAGCCTCTCCTAATGCTGAACCTGCAGATGTAACCACACGTAAGTAAAATAACATTAATGGGACATATATACTATCAGTCTGGAGGAAAATAATATACATTTAAAATGCACACAATATTTAATTTAATCTTTTCTCTCTCACAGCAACAGTCTCTCCTAATGCTGAACCTGAAGATGTAAACACACGTAAGTAAAATAGCATTACTGTGGCATATATACTATCAGTCTTTAGGGAAAAATAAAACATTTAAAATGCACATAAAATTTCATTTCACTTTTTCTTTTTCACAGCAACAGTCTCTCCTAATGCTGAACCTGAAGATGTGAACACACGTAAGGAAAATAACATTACTGTGGTGTACATGCTGTCAATCTTTAGGGGAAAAAAAAACCATTTAAAAATGCATATAAACTTTAATTTCCCCTTTTCTTTCTCACAGCAACAGCCTCTCCTAATGCTGAACCTGAAGATGTAAACACACGTAAGTAAAATAACATTACTGTGGAGTACATACCATCAGTCTGGAGAAAAGTAATATACATTTAAAATGCACACAATATTTAATTTAATCTTTTCTCTCTCACAGCAGCAGTCTCCCCTACTGCTGAATCTGCAGATGTGACCACACGTAAGTAAAATAACATTACTGTGGTGTACATGCTGTCAGTCTTGAGGAAAATAATATACATTTAACATGGACATAAAATTTAATTTCATCTTTTCTTCTTTTTCTTTCTCTCAGCAACAGCCTCTCCTAATGCTGAACCTGAAGATGTAAACACACGTAAGTAAAATAACATTACTGTGGCATATATACTATCAGTCTGGAGAAAAGTAATATACATTTAAAATGCACACAATATTTAATTTAATCTTTTCTCTCTCACAGCAGCAGTCTCCCCTACTGCTGAACCTGCAGATGTGACCACACGTAAGTAAAATAACATTACTGTGGTGTACATGCTGTCAGTCTTTAGGGGAAAAAAAAACATTTAAAAATGCATATAAACTTTAATTTCCCCTTTTCTTTCTCACAGCAACAGCCTCTCCTAATGCTGAACCTGCAGATGTAAACACACGTAAGTAAAATAGCATTACTGTGGTATATATGCTATCAGTCTTGAGGAAAATAATATACATTTGACATGCACATAAAATTTAATTTCATCCTTTCTTCTTTTTCTTTCTCTCAGCAACAGCCTCTCCTAATGCTGAACCTGAAGATGTAACCACACGTAAGTAAAATAACATTACTCTGGTGTACATGCTATCAGTCTTTAAGTAAAAAAGAACCATTGAAAATGCATATAAAATTTAATTTAATCTTTTCCCTCTCACAGCAACAGTCTCTCCTAGTACTGCAGCAGTAGACATCACCACTAGTAAGTAATACAGTCTTACTCTGGATTACATGCTACAAATTTCAGAGCAAAAACACAAACTTAACATTTAATTTCACCTTTTCTTTCTCACAGCAACAGTCTCTCCTAGTCCTGCACCTGCAGACATTACCCCTGGTAAGTAATAAAGGGTAACTATGGCCTACATGCTAGGGGTGTCGGGGGAAAAAAATACATGTAACATGAAGAAAATATTAAAATTCATCTTTTCTTTCTCACAGCAGCAGCAGCATCCACTGCTGCACCAGCAGACATTACCCCTGGTAAGTAATAAAGGGTAACTATGGCCTACATGCTATGGGTGCCAGGGAGAAAAAAATACATGTAACCTGCAGACAGTATTTAAATTAATCTTTTCTTTCTCACAGCAGCAGCAGCATCCACTGCTGCACCAGCAGACACTACCACCTGTAAGTATTGAAGTGTTGCTCTGGTTTACATGTTTAGCTGTCTGCCATGCTCTGATCATGTATTGACTGCCTCCCTTCCTCCATAGTAATTTCATCAATTAGAATTGGAGATAATCCCACCTGCCTTTCCTTTGGCTTCCAGATAATAATAAAGGAGCAAAAGGGAAAGGGGAAACAGAGAAACTCTGGCCCTGATGAAAGCACTGGGATGGGGCAGACTACATGAATACAAACTCAGATTTGCTCTTGGTCATCCCATTCCCAGAAAATCAGCCCTCCTGCACCTCCCAGAGCTGCATCCCAATCCCTGCACACCCTGGGATGTATTTGCCATGGGAGTGGGCAGCTCCAGTGCCCACCAAGGCATCCCCAGCCCTCACCAGCACATGGCACTGGGCAGACACTGCATGTCAGAAACGTTATCCCAGCCCCAAACTGCACATCAGAATCTTTATCCCAGCCCCAAACTGGTGTTTAGCAAACAGCCCCAGGCTCCCAGAGCTGTGCCATGGTCAGAGGCAGCACAGGGATGGGTTTTCCTCCCACTCTGGAACATTGTCCTGCCTCCAAGTGAGACCTTGAGTCTCCTGAGGTTTGGGTGTCTCTCACCTGCCCAGTGCTGGGAAAGCAGTTTTTAACCTGCAGTTTTGTTTCCTCTCATGTCTCTGATCAGCCCCTGCAGAAGGCACAACACCTGGAGCAGCAGGTGTGTATGACTTCAGTGTATTGGTCAGAATTTCAGGATCAAGCATCAGCTTGAGTGAAATCCTGCTCCACTCCCCCTTGCCAGCCCTGGCTTTTCCCACACAATAATGGAACAGACACTGAAGGGTGGTTTTGTTTTCTCTTTGACAGTCACAACTCAGCCCACCACAGCTGAAATCCCAGGTATTTATTTCTGGTCATTTCTGCAGCTGTGGGGAGCACTGCACTGTATTTCGTGTGGGTCATCTGTCGCAGACATCTTTCATGAAAAATCCTTTCTTAGGATCTTTCCTTGTGAGAAGCTGCAGTTTCAGCAACCAAAAGTAAACAATGGTTATCTGCTGCTGTGGAATGCAACAGGTAGACCTGTGATTGGTCTCCTGTGGATGTTGGGATTTACTGACCACTCATGGCAGAGCTGGCTCTTGCTCTCCGTCTGAGACACAGATCTTTGTTATTTATTCTTGTCTATTCTTAGCTTAGCTAGCTTCTCAAGAAACCTTTTCCTTTCTATTTCTTTTTAGTATAGTCTTAATGTAACATATATCATAAAATAATAAATCAAGCCTTCTGATCATGGAGTCAACATTCTCATCTCCTCTTCATCCTGAAAACCCTTGTGACCATGGTCACAGGTCATCCATGTATTAGAACACAGACAATGTTTAACTTTCTCTTTTCTCACAGAGACAGGCTCACCTGCTGCATCAGTCCCTCCACCTCCTGAAACAGCAGCCATTGCCACTGGTAAATGAAGCAGATTTACCCTGGTTTATACCCTTAATTCCCTACCAAAGCTGGGATCTGAGATGTGCTGGCAAGGCTCCCTGTCTCCATGCATCATCTCATGGAATTAATATTGAAATTTAGGGATTTTTTTTTTTTGGCTTCCATACAAATCGAGGGACCTAAATTGTTGGTATTGATATGGGAGTTTGATATTGCTCTGCTACAAGTTCTAAGGAACTGGAATTCACTGGGGCAGACACCCCACACCAACATAAATTCAGATTTCATCCAAATCACCTCACTCCTACAAAGCCAGCCCCCTGCACTTCCAAAGCTGCATCCCCACTGGGAGTTGAGGCAGTGGGAATCCTTTTGACATATTCAGGGGTATTTGCTTTGAACCTTAGTTTTCCACAGTGGGCTTTGTCTTTTGAAAAAACTGAATTGCAAATAATTCTGCTCACTAGTTGATGATGTTCTGCCTCAGCTGCTAACAGAGCAGAGCCAGAGTATCTTTTAGAGTCTGGCCATAGTAGCTACACTTTGATAAAAGGCACTTGGCTGCTTTGGTAAACACACACAAGAAACTGAACTTCAGGTGCCAAGCAGACATTTGAGCATGGGGTTATTGCCTCACACAGAGGGATAAACAGAATTAAATCTGGTTCCCATTAATGCCAGTAATATGTCACTTGTACTCAAGCCCCCACACTTTCCTTCATATGAAACCTTTGTCCAAGACAATTCTATTCCCCAGAACTGTTGTTAATAATATTCCCTGGTCCTAATGTGTTCTGCTCATTACAATGTTTATTAACTGATGGCATAAAAGCACATCTTTTGCTCAACCAGCTCACTTTTTAACCTTTTTTATTTTCATGAAAAGCCAATCCACAGACAAACGCAGCAACTACAGGCTCAGGTAAGGTATTTGATTCTTTCTTCTTTTTAATGACTCCTCTTCCTAAGGGCAGGATACCCTGGGTGAGAGGTGTGAGCTGGGAAGGGCTGGCAGAGCTGGGAAGTTGATGTGAGCTGGGAAGGTCATTGGCAGAGGGGATCTGAGTGCAGGGGAAGTGGGAGAGGCTGGATGCAGGCAGAGGGATTGGGAATGTCACAGCTCAGCCAGGGATCACACACTGCTTATACAGAGCTGGCAGCGGAGCCATCCTCAGTGGTGAGTGCCAAGGGGATGAGCTGGTCTAGGTCTGCATCATTTATGGTCAAAAACCATTTGAGATGTCCTCCCACAGCCTGCCAGCTCTGCCCACCCAGTGCCCTGTGCTCTGGAGGGCTCACAGGCAGAGACATCTCATGATCCTGGCAAATCCCCCTCTTCCAGGAGAGAACAACACCAAGAATTACCTCAGGGTTAGTTGTTAGTTGTAGGAGGGAGAAATGAGCTTTTAATGGGGCATCATCAAAGAGAGAGAAATTCATTTCCTCCCCACTCAGCTGTTATTCCAGGCCCACATTTAAATTTGCAAAGCAGGCCAGTATTTAAAATATATATGCAGTAAAAAAAAAAAAAAAGCAGTAAAATACCTGCTGCATTCTGCTCTGTGCTTACCTCTGGTTTCTCAACATTCAATTCCTTCCCCTGCAGCAGAGCTCATTCCCCTGCCTAACTACGTGAAGCTGTTGTTGCTGAAATACCTAAACAGCCTGTGCCAGCCAAGGAGACCTGGGATGCCAGAAGTAACATTGGAAGGGTAAATATTTATTCATGTATTAATAAATATTCATGTGAGATGCCCCAGACAAGCTGGGATACCCCAAACATGATTTCACACCATTTTGTTACACCCTTCAAGTGCTCAGGTACAACTTGATTTGACTACTCAGTCATACCCATACTTCCAATTACTAATCACACTAAAATTTTGCAAAACACCACTATTTCTTGGAAACAGACAGACATTCTTGGTGCATGTCTGTTGATCCAGATGTCCCTGGAGCCATTTTTGCTGGAGTCACTGATTTATGGCACCAGATGATGCTGGCAGGGTTTCAAAGACACGTCAGAGGGGCTGGGATGCTGGTGTTGTCTTGGCTGCCCAGGAGAATCCTCCATGGACAGCTCTACGCTTCCAAAAATTCAAAATCCTTCTTTCCAGGGCCGTCCTTTAGTTTGTTAATTAAGCATGAACCATAGCAAAATGTGCAGTAAAATTCCACTAACTCATCACTGTACAGCTTATAATGTGATTTAATATGTATTAACAAAATTCCACCAGGTGTGGTATCACATTGTGTGATATGTGTTGTGGTGCACATTGCACCAACAGACATCCAAATTCCATGCAGTGGCATGGAAAGGAATGAACAGGGGTTCAGTGCTGTGAGTTGTGATTAACATCACCGCTGGACATTTGTGGAAGAAAGTTCCTTGCAACCCAGGAAACAAAGGGGCTTAGTGAGCATGCCACAATCATGACACGACAATTTATATGTGGGGTTGTGGGGTTTTTTTCCCTTTTCCAGGTGTGTAAAGGATCCAACCTGTGGGAATCACCCTTCATCAGGCCAGAGGCTCATCCAGCTCCGTTACAGAGCTCCTGTAAACCCTGGAATTTGCCTGCGGTGCAGAGTATCAGGGTGCAATGCACCCCCTCCTCCTCCTCCTCCTCCTCCTCCCAGACCCTTCCCAGGGAACAGGCTCCCTTTTCCTCCTCTGAGACCCTTCCCAGGGAACAGGCTCCCTCCTCTCAGACCTTTCCCAGGGAACAGGCTCCCTCCTCTGAGACCCTTCCCAGGGAACAGGCTCCCTCCTCTCAGACCCTTCCCAGGGAACAGGCTCCCTCTTCCCAGACCCTTCCCAGGGAACAGGCTCCCTCCTGTCAGACCCATCCCAGGAAACAGGCTCCCTCTTCCCAGACCCTTCCCAGGGAACAGGAGAAGAGCCAGGAGAAGCACAAGCGACGTCGTTATTGTCATCGCCCCCCAGTAATGATGCTTCTGACCATGGTATTATGTTGAGCACCTCTAGACCTGTTCATTGTGCTCCAAGACCTGCTGCTCATTTCTAAAAATATGCTAGTGGGTGTAAATCTAAAGGTAGTTCATCTTAAATGAACTTGGGTTGCTTAAATTCAGATCTTTAGGATCTACACAGCGGATCTTGTAAAAGCCTGAACTTCAATAAATACTCTCAGTGACAAAAAATAACTGGACCAACTGCCTGTTTTTTCTCAAGATTTTGTTTCCTTCTCAATGTTCCTTCAGTTCTAATCATGCTCAGGTCATACAAAGCTCCACCACACTCCTAACCCTGTGCTCTGCTTCCCACAGGAATTGATTTAAAGGGCATTGGGTTCTGGAGGACACAGCACTGATGGGCAGGGATCCACATGCCAGCTCACACATTCACTGCAGAGTCACATCCAGGCACAAAAGGGATGTTAACATCTGAAAATTCCTTGCAAGTACGTGTGTGGGTTTGAGAAATAAAAGGCTACACAGAGTAAATGCAAATTTAGCATTTCCAGGAGCCAAAGGGAATTCAAATGCTGTGCAACATCTTTAAACATCTATTTAGTGCCTCCACACTCAAAGGCAGTATAAGTACATTTCAGAATGAAGACTGTTAAATTTAACTTAAAGTTTAGATTAAATTTAAGTTAAATTTAACTTTAAAAAGGGATGGCAAAGGTGACATTATGGGACTTTACTTCCAGACTGAAATGTATTCAACGTGCAAGATCAAAATCCTTAAAGTGAGTTAAAAATCAGAGAGACTTGTTTTAAAGAAGAGATAGGTCTGAGATTAGAAATACAGTATCATTACAAATGCATTATATATCAGCTTGCTTATAAAAGAAAATGGTTTTGTCAAAAAAAAAAAAAAAAAAAACTACAATGGAAGAAAAGCACCTGGCTGTGTTTCAAGAAGGTCTTGACTTTATTTTCTAGTAAAGTTGGAAGAAGCCCTGTTTGCACAGCTGTGGGGTTTGTGCTGCTCCTGAGGGAGCCCTGGCTGCTCCCACCCCCAGGTACCAGCCTGACCCAAGGCCAGGTACCAGCACACCTGGGCCCCTGGCACGGCCTCAGCAGCTCTAAGGACTGGGTGCTCTCTGCTGCACTGAGAAATGCTCTGCAATTTTTTCAGAGCTTTGGTCCTTATGAGACAGAATAGGGTGAATATATTGGACCAGGTACTTTGTTAAAGCTGTGCTGAAAGGAATTCAGGCTTTCAGGGCTGTGCTTGTTTCCTTGCCTCAGGAAGGAAAGGCTGATTCCTTTTTTCCTTCTGTGGTTCCTAGTGTGGGGCTGAGAAAGTCCTGCCTGCAAAGTGGTTTCAGGGCAATCTTCTCCTTTTAATCTGTGACAATCTGGCCTTGCTCATCCCTGGGTGTTTCAGCAATGAATTCATAACAACTCTTTTACAGCAGTTGCACTTTGCAATCCTCAGCAAGGACAGGGAATGATTTTCCCAGTGTAACCTAAAGGGAGAAATGTCAAAATGAAGGTGGGAGAAATCAAACTCCTGCTGAGTGCTGAGACAAAACTGCAAATGTGTCTCCCAAGGGAGTCTGTCAGTCCCTTCCACAAAATTCTTGCTCGTGCCCACACCCCCAAACAGCCCCTCAATGAAATCTGCTGGAAAATGTGCTTTGGGAGCTGACAAAAGCACTTCAAACTTACTCCACACAGCGCCTGTTTCAAAAACGGGCCCACCTGTTACTTTCTCATTTCTATCTGTTAAAAAGAAACAGTGACTGACAGATTAAACCCTGCCTCTTGGTACCACGGGGTGGTTGTGAAATAGCAGGAGGTATAAAAGCCAGGAAAGCCAAAGCTGCCCTTCCCAGATGCCCTCAAAATGCAGCTGCCCAGGCAGTTCCTCTTCCTGCCTCTCTTCACCGCCCTGGCTCTCTCTGGAACCAGCTCAGTAGAATTCACAGGTATGGAAATCTGTTTATCTGTGGTATTTTATTGATTTCTGCACAACAGGTCTTATATAGGCAACTGAGGGGCAAAATGTTAAACACCTCTTAAAGTGAATCTAATTGCAATGTGCTGATGGCATGATAGTGATACCTAAACAGGAATAAAAATGGTAAATAATAAAAAATACTCTATACAGTCCACCCTATGACAGTTATTTTATTTTAAGAACTTGATTTTGAAGCAGTTTTACTCTGCAATGTAAATTGGCTTTTATAAATTAACACTATATTGGAATAACAGAAATCAGGAGACTAATTGGGAGATGTTTGCTTTTTGACAGAGATCTGTTCATTTTTCCTTTGTTCAATCAGAAGCAATAGAGAGCTGTTTGCTGCTCAGTCTGGGATCCCCATTCTGTGCTCAGATCAGCAATGTGGCTGATTGAAGGAGGGTGGCTATTGCAGGATAATGAAATATTGCAGCAGAGCTGCTCCACTGGTGTCTGACCCCAGAGAGTGCAGGAGGGTAGGACTGACCTGCAATGCTCTCACAGAGAGGAGGTTCCATTTGTGATGGCTAAAGTCTCTCCTCAACCTTTCTATTCCCTCTGGAGTCCCTCAGAAAGCCTGACCTAATTTTCTGGGGCTGCATGCACTCTACAGAAAATTCTTCTGACTGCTTTAGACCATTATTTTTATATTTAATATTAAATATAATAATATATTTAAATATAATAGAATTCTATAATTATATTCTATTTAGTATTAAATAGAATATATCATTATATAAATATTTTTTGTGTATATATATATATATAAAAAATATATAATTAAATATAATTCTATTAAAGAAGAAAGGAGATCTTATGCTCAGAGTGGATTATAAACTTTCTCCAAAGTTTTCTATCCAATGGTCATTACTTCAACTACTTCCTAGCCTATCAATTAGTGTCACACATAGCTGAGTTGTGGGGTTTTTTCATAAGGTACTTAAAAGTCCCAAGGCCTGAATTGCTTGTGGTGACAAACCTTGCTGAAAAGGGTTGCTGAGGTGTCCTGCAGCACTTGGCCTTTCCAGTTGTGCTACTGGCTTGATCCTTTTCTCTGCTGCTAGGAAAACTGGGACAAACCATGGCTTTTTAATATTCTTTCACCATAAGATTCATCAGATTTCATCAAATGAAGTAATATAAAGAATTTTTTTTAAATTAGCACATTTTTCATATCTGTTTGATGATGGACTCTTCCAGTCTTTACATAATGGAGGATTAAATATTTACTGCAAGAGAAAACTTGAGAGATGTCCTTGCACGTTGTTTCTGTGGTTGCTGTTGTCCAACAGGGGCGCCTCGCTGTGGGGCTTCACTTCATGAGCCCAACAAAGCACTAAGGATTGAACTAAATGCAAATGCAAACTGCACCTGGCAAATCCAGAGGAATGCAAATCAAACAATTAGGCTTGTTTTCTCCCATTTTAAGTAAGTATTTCCTACAGATGCTTTTGCACTGTTTCATTTCACTGGAATATAGCACAGAAATGTATTGCCCCTAAATATTTCTCTCTGTTGAATCTGTGTTGTGCCCTCCAGTGAATCCCAGGATGGTTTGGGTTGGATGTGAGTTAAATCCCACCCAGTGCCACCCCTGCCATGGCAGGGACACCTCCCACTGTCCCAGGTGCTCCCAGCCCCAGTGTCCAGCCTGGCCTTGGGCACTGCCAGGGATCCAGGGGCAGCCCCAGCTGCTCTGGGCACCTGTGCCAGGGCCTGCCCACCATCCCCACAGAGAATAATTCCTTCCCCAAATCCCATCCAGCTCTGTCCTCTGGCAGTGGGAGCCATTCCCTGTGTTCTGTCCCTCCAGGCCTTGTCCCCAGTCCCTCTCCAGCTCTCCTGGAGCCCCTTCAGGCCCTGCCAGGGCTCTGAGCTCTCCCTGGAGCCTTCTCCTCCCCAGGTGAGCCCCCCCAGCTCTCCCAGCCTGGAGCAGAGGGGCTCCAGCCCTTGGAGCATCTCCATGGCCTCCTCTGGACTCACTCCAGCACATCCTTCTCATGTTGAGCTCCCAGGGCTGAAAGCAGCATTCCAGGTGGGGTCCCATGGGAAGAATCTCCTCCCTCAGACTCCCATTCATTTTTGGTGTTGCACTTTTTGGTCATGTCGAGTTTCTCATTCACCAGCAGCTCCAAATCCATCTCCTCAGGGCTGTTCCCAAGCCATTCTCCACCCAGCCTGTATCTGTGGGCCTGCCCCAGCCCCTGTGCACATTTACCTGTGTGGCTGCCAAGGAGCTCAGGTGATTCTCACTGTGCTTTTCCCAATAGATTTGCTCCTTCTTCAAGCTGTGAAACAGAGAGCATCAGAGTGTTTGATGGTCCCTCCACTGCTTCACCTCTCCTTGGACAAGTGTGTGATGACACAGATGCAGTCCCAGTGCTTGAATCATCCTCAGACAGTTTAACTTTTCTCATAACAACCAACTCCATGCCTTTCACAAGAAACTTCTTTGTCTACTACTACTTCTTTTCACCAGGATCAAGTAAGCCAATAAATTACATTTGAACTGCAGCAATGAAATGTAATTAAAAAGCTTTAATCAGTCTCACTCAGGTCTTCAGGCCTCAGAGAATGGAGTGGGGCAAAAATCAGGGAAAGAGGCACAAGCAATGTGTTGGCAGAGATCCTAAAAAGTTAAATTTAACTTAGAAAAGTGATGGCAGAGGTGACATTATGGGACTTTACCTTTACTTCCAGACTTCTATGAAATGTACTCAGCTTGCAAATGTTACAGCATTTACCCAGGAGAATTTGACCATCTAGTCAGAACTCCTGCCAAGTACAGATCACAGAAGCCAGTGAGGATTTTAATTCAAGAAGCTCCTTACTCTTTTTCTTTTCAAAGATAAGAATAGCTTGGACAAAATCAATCTTAGCTTGTGACCAGTCCCTTTGCTTCTGCTGACCTGGTGGCATGGTATTAAGCTCTTAAAAACTTAATTTCACAGAGCAGTTACCAAATCCCAGTTCATGCTGCTCCAGTCTTTAATTTTGCTGCTGAAAGATTCTGCCCTGTCTCTAGTCTACATTTGTCTGAGGTTCCACTGGTTTGATTTTTTTTGCCTTTGTCAAGTAAAATCTCTTTCATACTTGCAGATTTTGCACTTCCATACAGATCATGTATGGTTGGTGTAACGTCTTCATTACCAGTTTTTCAAGAGGGCACTGAATTTATCCAAAATGTGGATAAATGTGGCTCTCACTAAGCTGCTCCCTGTACCAAAGT